GAAGGAATTGAGCAAATGAAAACTCACCACTGGAACACAGTGGTTGCTGCCAACAAGATTTACCAGTAAGTGCTAAAACTAGTGGGTGAGCATTCAAGGGGAAACAAAATACATATAGCCTCTATGTGTTGTCTCTAAAATATTTATTAATTACAGAAAGCAAGATAGTGACTTAACAATAAGGAAATCCAGCAGACACACCTCAGTCAATTGGTTACGTCAGCCTCATTGCATGTAATGCCATGTACCCCCTTAAGCGGTGGACTGCGAAAAGCATATCAGCTCGGTGATATTCCTCCCAAAAAAGTCATAACTTAAATCACGAGAAAGCATCAAACCCAAATGAAATTGTTTTAGGGATGTATCTACAAAATATGTCTACAGGGGAAGTCTACAAAACACTTAACTAGTACTCTTCAAGATCAAAAATGACAAAGACTGGGAAACTGTCACAAATTAGAGAAGACTTTGAAGGCATGACACTAAATGCAGTGTGAAATCCTGAACTGAAAAAGGACATTCGTGGAAAAATTGGCAAAATCATACTAAAGTCTATAGTTTAGTTAATAATGAATCAGTGTTTAGATAATGGAATTTTAGCTTTTAAACTGGGCTCGGTGGCTCAACCTGTAATCCCACGCTTTTGGGAGGCTGAGGTGAGTGGATTGCCTGAGCCCGTGGGTTCAAGGCCTGCCTGGGCAACTTGGCGAGACCTCATCTCTACAATAAATAAAAAATTAACCGGGCGTGGTAGCACATGCCTGTAGTTCCAGCTACTTGGAAGGCTGAGGCAGAAGGATCGCCAGAGCCCAGCAGGTCAAGGCTGCGGTGGCCGGGAGTGACCACTGCCCTCCAGTCTGGGCGACAGAGTGAAATTCCAACTCAAAAAAAATTAAAAAAAGAATTTTAGCTTTTATAATGATACCATAGTTACATAAAATGTTAGTTAACATTAGGGGAAGCAGAGTGAAGGGTATAGGGAATTCTCCTCACTTTGTTGGTGCAACTCTTTTATAAATCTAAAAGTATTTCAAAATTAAAAGTTTTTTAAAAAATCAAAGTGAATCCAACATTGCATGACTTAAGTTTTATGACAGAGAAACAGCAAGCAAAGTGTCTGAGGAACATAACAACGGTAGGTTTAGGTATTAACTTGCAGATCAGAGAACTAGAGAAGACAATAAAGGTGTTTGCTTTCCAGCAAGGCCAGGCTGACTCTGAATCTGGCAGAGAGAGGAATACCTAAGTGAATGTTTTTACGATGCTTTCCAAAAGTCAGATGAAATGTAGTGGCTTTTATTATTCTGTGCAAGACTCTTCTATGTTTGTACAGTGATTGACTCATGTCTGGCATGCGGATGTTTAATGAAGATTTGGTTTGTATGATGAAACATGAATATTGTCCATTTCATTAGAATAAATGGCATTTTCGTATTTCATCCCTTTTACCCCTCATTTCGCTATATGCATTTAGGCAGAGAGCGAATGACTCAAATTATTCTGATTCCTGTCAAGAAAGCAAAAGGCTCTTATTTTTAAGTGTCTTCCATTGCCACTTCTTAAACCTGACAATTGTTAACTTGTTCAAAAATAGCTACTTATCACTGTGCCAGGGAAGGACATCAAGATGGTGGTTAACAGTGGAGACTCTTGAGTTAAGCTTGGTTTCTAGTTTCTATTCCAGTTCTGTAACTTAGTAGCTAGCTATATAACCTTTGGCAAAGTACTTAGCTTTCTACCCCCACTTTCTCCTAGAATGAGGATACCTCATAAGATTCTTAGAAAGAAATCGTCTTCAGAGAGCTTAGATCAGCTCCTGGCACATAGGAAAGCACTTGTAAGAGATAAGAACAACATACTCATATAGCAAATCTTTATCAAGCAGCTATTGTCTGTAGACAGCATACTTCAGACTGTCATTCCCCCATTCTCTACTCTCAGGTAAGTTAAATAATATTAGCAACAGCACCTTCCATTAATTGAGTACCTACTATGTTTCAGTAGCATGTTATATATTGTCTTTTTGTATTAATACAACAACTTCATGAAGTATAGATATCATCTTTATTTTGCAAATAAGGAAACCAAAGCCCCAAGAAGTTATCTAAGATGACATAGCTAAGTAGAAAATGGGAAGGGGGGGATGATAGAAAGAAAACCCAGGATTTGATCTCAAATTCACCTGACTCCAAAGTCTTTCTTAACCCACTCATCAGGCTATGATAAATACAATGTTTGAAGTGCTTTGACAAGGTTATAAAAGACCTCTGCACATGTGATAGAGTAGTAGCTTAGTAAGCCTGATTGTATTTCAGTGTTTCATTTAATATTATACAGATCCACATTCCTATTTTCCTTAGTTACTCATAGAAAATAGAAGTAAACAGGCCAGGCACAGTGGCTCACACCTGTCAGTCATTTCAGCACTCAAGACGGGAGGCTCTCCTGAGGCCAGGTGTCCAAGACCAGCTTGGGCAACATAGTGAGACACCACCTATTGTAAAAATTAGCCAGGTGTGGTGATGTGCACCTGCAGTCCTCGCTACTCTGAAAGCTAAGGCCAAAGGATCCCTTGAGCCCAGGATTTCGTGGCTGCAATGAGCTATGATTGTGCCATTGTACTCTCCCAGGCTGGGTGATACAGTGAGACCCTGTCTCTTAAAAAGAAAGAAGTAAACAGCTACTCAGTGCTGCTCTTCTTGTAAGTGAACAGGGAGCTGTAAAGCCATGGTTGAAAATGGGCTTCCAAAGTTCTGGGGAATCATGCCTAGTGCTCGCGCTCTTGCCTGTGAAGCGTATCAGTGATAGATCCTAAGGCTGCCTTCCTGGCAGGCCTGTGTCCCCTTCAGTTCTATTGAGTTCATTTCACCAGGATGTGGAGAAATACAGAACAAAACAGTAATAGAAAGTTATTTGAGACATTAGAACTTAACAATGTAGAGTTAACAACTTAACAATGGAGAGTTTCCTCAACTTACTCATATTAAAACTCAGTCTGTGATTTGGGTTTCAAGTGCAATAATTATTGTACATATTTCAGGATCCTGAACAAACATCCCGGAGTTGGTGCTTTACCCTGGCAATGAAATTAACATTTGAACATGTAGCCCTTGACTCATTTGAGCGTATGGCTTTTCTCAAAAATTAGAAACATTTATCTGTGTGCCCATATGGGATGCAATGTGCTAAGAGTAGTTAGTCATAGAGGTGGAACTGAGAAGATAAGGCCTTTCCACCCAGTCATTTTGAAAGGTGGACTGTGGGACTGAACGGAGGTCACATGGAAGGAGACAGCTTCTTCCTGGCACCCCTTAGTTTCATGCTGCTGGATCCCCAGGGCAGGCCACCAGGTTTAGACTGTGTCTGAGGCTCTTTCCCCACATGTACCCTCTTCTCTTCTGAACCCTTAAGCCCCCTCTTTTCTACCTCTCCTGTCTATGTTTTCAGGACCTTTTTCTCTAAAAGGCAATAGTTGGTGATAATGGTCTCACAGAGGGAGAAGAGAACTGACATTTCACATCCACTCTGCTCTACACATTTTACATTCTTAATCTTATTTAATCCCCATGACATCCTATCTGAGTGGGTAGATTATCCCCACGTTTATAGATGTGGGGAAAAAATAACTTTCCTAGAGGATTTGAAGCCAGAAAGTGGCAAAACTGGAGATGAGTTGTAGTTCTGCAGAGGGTGTGCTCTTCCACGAAGCTGGACGGGTGGAGCTTGCTACTGCTGTGGCTGTTGTGACTGCTTGCCACCCGTCTTTGTGTCACTAAGCTAAGAGAATGCTTTTCCTAAAGTACAAATGTGTGCACAGTCTCAAGGTGTGAAGGGAGTGCCTTGATGTTAACACACTGGATCCTCACACCTACCTGCTGACTAGACATATTTACAGTTGAGGAAACTAAGGCTCACAAAGGCTGATCCAGAGTCACGGTCAGTCTGGCAGTGGAGACTCAGTCCAGTCTTTCTTGGGCATCTCTTAAAGCTCACTGTGCCTACTGTGCCACACTCCAGCTAAGTGCAGTTCTAGTTCCTGTCGTGAGGCAGTGTTCTTCATTCAGGAGTATGTAACAGAATAGGACAGTATGGGTATAGCTTCCAGAATAATAGGCATGTACTTCCTCAGTAAGAACATGAGACTGCAAAGACTTCGCAAAAGGGTATGAACCTGCATTTATACCAATGCTTCCTGAATTTATTTCATGCATATCAAAGGCATCTATGTATAGTGTTACCAGAGTACATTCTGTGTATCAAAGCTGTAGATTCAGTATGACTGAGATTATAAGGAGAAGGCCATTAACTATTTTGAGTTATAATGCCATCGCAGTCCATAAATGAGTAAATAAGTGATGGTGATAGGTAGTTTGTGGCTGGGTACACAGCCATCCTATGTTATTAAACTATTCAGATGGGTATCTGCCTAAAACAGGAGATAAGGACCAATGCTTAGAGAGTTGTTACTTGGGAAACACTGTACTTAGTTGCTTTAGAGAGTTATAAAGCATACTATCCTGGGGTAATATCTGTAAGAGCAGCCAGTTACTCGGTTGTTTTTAGGTGAATAGCTGAGAGTTTTACTTATTTGTGTCTTCCCTTATAGACCATATAAGATAAAGAGCTCTTAGCAATCATCAGGTAATTGAAATTCTTAAGATTATCAAATTCAAGTTGGTTATCTACACCAGTGTTCTTAAAAATTCTGAATGAACTTTCAGTTTTAAAAATACATGACAAAGTCTTTTCCCAGTCTCTCACTTACTTTGAGAAGAAAACTTGATCACTTACACATTCATTCAACAATATTTATTGATTATTACTATTTGCCAGTCATTATGCGAAATGCTAGGGAACCATCACAAGACAGATGTCTTCCCTGTTCTCACAGAATAAATAGTAATGATATCGTTAATATAGCATATTATAAAATTATTACAGAGAAATGCAGTATAGTTTGAGTGCATAGATGAAAGTAACATTTATTTCCATCCCAATAGATTTCGGTTTTGGAAATTTCTTTAAAAGTGGTGAACTGCTGGCAACATGGTGTGGCAGCCCCCCTTATGCAGCCCCAGAAGTCTTTGAAGGGCAGCAGTATGAAGGACCACAGCTGGACATTTGGGTATTGCTTTGCTTTGCTGTGTTGTTAAATGCATCTGTAATGATAATACTTGGTGCTCTGGCCCATCTTAGATACTCCTAATAATTAACACATGAGCAGTATTTCATATTTCCCTATTCGCTGGACTATAATTAATCAGAGCATCTTGAAATGGATCCCTAGGGAAGAATTTCTAGGGACAAGTGTTATTATCCTTTATATAACAGCATTAACTTAAAGTAATCAAAATGATGAAATTCAGATTTTTTGGTGTGCTTTAAAAGATACTTGTAGTAGTCAGCGTTTCAGATTTTTTTTTTTTTTTTTCAAACTGAGGAAGTGATACATCCAGACAGGAATTTTTCAGTCCATATGATTTCAAGCGCCCTGGAATGTTCAAGAAAACAGTGTGTGAACTGCTTGGCAGAAAAGTGACTGCATTGTTTTCTTCCCTAGAGTATGGGAGTTGTTCTTTATGTCCTTGTCTGTGGAGCTCTGCCTTTTGATGGGCCGACCCTTCCGATTTTGAGGCAGAGGGTTTTGGAAGGAAGATTCCGGATTCCATATTTCATGTCAGAAGGTAACAAGCTGTTCATCTACTAGTGGTGCTTTATGGTATTTGTGCTCCAAATTCCTAGTCAGAAGCTTTCTTTTTTGTAATAGTCTGGGTGCCAAATAAAGTAACTGAGTCATTTTAGAAGCTATAGTAATAAGCAGCTCCCTCTGTGCAAGTGACACAAGTTCCAGCCATCCTACTTGTGACTGGACACAGCACATCTCACAGATTAAGAACAACAAGTCTTCTTACTCACTCTGGGTCTGTAGAGGTCCCAGGTTTATTTTAGACTTAGCAAAGCACTTCATAGAGGCAGGTTCACAACTATATTGCTCTATTTATGAAATGGACTTCGCAAGATTAAAAGTTTTTTAATTTAACTCAAAGCCAACTGGCAAAACTCTGCTGAATTAAGATGATATGCCACAATCTCTACCCGTCTTATATTGGACTGTTCCATAGGCAACCATTAGGTTTACTCCTTAGTTTCGTGTTTGCTTGTCATTCTTAACTCTTTCATTTCCTCCCAACAGTAGAAATAATGCTGTGAGTGGCTTAGAGCATGGGCTCTGCAGCCAGGCTACCAGACTACCTGGTCTTAATCCTGAGTCCACCACAAGTTACATCTGCTCTCTGTGCTTCAACTTCCCCATCTAGAAAATGAAAATAACAGTAGTTCTTACCCCAGGGGTGTTGTTAAGGCTTAATTAAATTAATCTGTATATACCAGGTGTTGTGGTTCATGCTTGTAATCCCAACACTTTGGGAGGCCAAGGCAAGAGGATCGCTTGAGGCCATGAGTTTAAGACTAGCCTGGACAACATAGCAAGACACTCATCTCTCCAAAAAATTTTAAAACAAACTGGGCATGGTAGCACAGGCTTGTAGTTCCAGCTACTTGGGAAGCTGAGGCAGAATGATTACTTGAGCCAAGAAGCTTGAGGCTGCCTGAACTGTGATCACACCACTGCACTCCAGCCTGGGTGACAGAGCAGGACCCCAACTAAAAAAAAAAAAAATCTATATCAGGTCCTTAGCACGATGCCTGGCATGTAGTGAATGACAGAAGGTTAGCTTATGTGGGAGTAGTGAAGGGCATCATGTCAGCTTAGAGAGTAAGAAGTTAGTGCTCAAAGTTGCAGCAGTGCAGTTTTCATAGTGTAATCAGAAATAAATAATATTTCACATGGATTTTTCTCAGCTGCACTGATGTGGAGAAAAGCCATAGCCCCTTGGAGAGCTCTTTACCTCACTTACATAACTTTAGTCTGTCAGCCTAGATGGGACTGAGGATCAATTTATTATTGGCTTGTTCTAAGAATATGGCTTATTTCTTTTCTTTAGTGGAAATCTATGTATATTTCTAGATATTTTTAGTTGGAAAATGCAGTAGACAGGTTCATTTAGCACAGAAGGTGATAGACCTACACCCTCTTGTTTTTCTTAAGTATTTGTTCGTCATGTGAACTTGACAAATATAAGGAGCCTTCATGTGTTCATTTATTCATTTGACCTTCTTCTTTCCAGTGGAGGACTCAAAGATTAGCACTGGTGTAAAGTCACATGAGTCAAGCAAATAACCCTAAAGTACAGGTGATTTATGTGACTTTCACAACATTGTGTTTTCTATAGATTGTGAGCACCTTATTCGAAGGATGTTGGTCCTAGACCCATCCAAGCGGCTAACCATAGCTCAAATCAAGGAGCATAAGTGGATGCTCGTAGAAGTTCCCGTGCAGAGACCTGTTCTCTATCCACCACAAGAGCAAGAAAACGAGCCATCCATCGGGGAGTTTAACGAACAGGTCCTGCGACTGATGCACAGCCTTGGAATAGATCAGCAGAAAACCATTGAGGTAAAGTGATCAGAGATTTAACTAAAGGTATTTGAGGACTGTGCTGTACTTAGTCACTCGGAACTTCATGCTCACACCTGTCATCCTGGCCTTTTAGCACATCTCTCCCTAGCACCTAGCCACACTATTTGGTGTTCCTGTTGGATTGCATCAGACTCTTATATTTGCTTTTTTTTTTTTATCCCCACCCCCCATATTTGTTTTTATTTAGTGTTTAAATTCCTTGTTTTGCCCCATTTGCCAAAAAATCCAAGAGGAAGCATTTATAAAAGACTCAGAAAAGACAAAGATAGAAGCTTAGCAAATATAAGATGAAAGTTTCTTCCAAAACAAAGCATGAAGTTTTATATAGGTATTTAACTAGTTTGTATGGACTGTAAATGTGCAGAAAGGGAACGAGGCTAAGGACTGAGCAGGAAACAGGAAGGTGTAGGCATTGGGTTTAAGAAAGTCAGTGGGATTTAAATTGTGAACTGGAGAAACTCAGAAGGCAGAAACAGGTGGGTTCCTTATTTGGAAGTATTAGGGGTCATAGAACTAAGAAGGTCATGACCCTGAAAAATTTCTCTTGGCTTTTGTTTCTGTTCTTCAATAGTAAGCATACTTATAGGAGATACCTGTCTTTAATACCTCCACAATAATAAAAAGCAAAGAGTGCTTTTAAGCAGGAAGTGTATCCAGAAACAATGTCAAATGCCTCTTGTTTGCTGTGGAAGACCAAGGCTCTCTCTCAAGACTGAGCTGCCTTTCCCCACTTGTAGCTACAAGCAAAACCAGATTGCCTCACTCGTCATATGCTCATTGGCATTTCTCTGGACTTGTCCATGGGTAGACCCAGAGTGGCAGCTACGAGTGTGAGTCTGCCAGCCTGTGGTTTTTGCTGCGATGCTCTGCATCCGGGGTGCCCTTCCTGGAGCCCATTCGGACTGTCAGGTGGAATTAGAAGCCAAAGGAGCAGTTGTTTTCTGTTCCGTTAGTATCCTGGGAACGCTGGCAGCTAGAGATGTGAAAATTTGGGAAACAACGTTATTTTCAAGGTTTCAAAAGGGTGGGACTGCAAAAACAAGAGGAAAAAATTACCTAAGAATGGAGACATAGTGTCTCTCAATTTAGCATCCAGATGTCATTCTCCAGCCCAAAATAATCAACAGAATGTTCCCCAAAGACTTTAATCATTCTCTTCAGAGTTTTCAAAGGCTGGGACTTGTGCTGAAGCCATGAAATAAGAGCACCAGGCTCAGGTTGCTAACTGACCATACACCATAGTTACAGCTATGAGATGGGACCATAGGATGGCATCAGGGAATGTCTACATGAGACAGTGATGACATTTTCTCCAACTGCAGAAAAATAAATGGATCCTGCTCATGTAAAAGGGCTGGTCAAGTCATCCAAAGGTGTCACCCTTTATATAATCAATACTAGAGACTTGACATTTTCTGCCTTCCAGCCTAAATTCTGAAACAGCTTTCATCTTGAGGCATACTTTGTCGCTCTATTTTTAAAAACATGTGATTTCCTTCCTCTTCTTTTAGAAATGTATAGATCATGGTATGGGTTTGTACAGTTCTCTGCTTTCAGCTCTTGTTTTCTTTTTCAGTCTTTGCAGAACAAGAGCTATAACCACTTTGCTGCCATTTATTTCCTGTTGGTGGAGCGCCTGAAATCACATAGGAGCAGTTTTCCAGTGGAGCAGAGACTCGATGGCCGCCAGCGCCGGCCTAGCACCATTGCCGAACAAACAGTTGCCAAGGTAGCGCCCTGTGGCCAGTAGTCTTATCTGTGCATGTGCTGGTTCACACGTTTGACACGGTTGTCGCCTTGCAGTACAAGGGCTGGGGCCTCACCCTGTCGCCGTTTTCTGTGAAGCTTCTGCCTCCAGCATTCACCAGAGTCCCAAACCCATTCGCTCCTTGCTATTGCGAAGGGCTCGCTTTCATTTCAAGCAGGTTTTTAAAGATGGGTTCTGTTTTGTCACTCACTTGTGTTGAGAGTTACTGCAACTAGCCTGTACATTCAGTTTCGCTTAAAAGTTCTTTATCGCAGATTTACCATGTGGAAGCTTCTATGAGGTATTATCTGTGCTAGGATACATAAAACACCATCATTGCCCTCAGAGACATTACACTCTGGAAGTGAAACAAGGCAAGACCATAAGTAGGCATCATTCAAAACAGGGAGAGATGAATGCTGATGCAGAACTAAGGGCAAGGAAGAGGCATGTCTGAACAGGAAAGTGCAGACAGATGCTCACAGGTGTTTGGGGCCATGTTAGGGAAGGGCGGAAGAGGCAGCATGGATCAGCAGAAGTACCCGGGTGGGCAAGCACAAGCCTTGTTCACGTTAATCCACTTGAACTGAAGTATAGGAAAATGAAGAAGTTGGAGTGGTAAGTCAAAGCCACACTGGAAGAGTTTTGAATGCCCAGGTAAAGAGTTTACTTACAATTCAGAAGGGTGCTAACCAAAATGTCAACTAAATATATCCATGCTTTAAGCTAATTAACCTGGTAGCATAGGGATGGAGGGATTGACTAGGGAAGAGAAGAAACTTGGAGAGAGCAGTTAGGAGAGTAATATGATAGCTGAGATGAGATACTGAAGGCCTAAGCTAACATGGTCCTGCTGGAAGTAGAAGGGAAGGGGCAAGTCTGAGAACTGTTTCCAAGGCAGACTCTTAGGAACTCCAGGCAGTGGTTTAGAGAGACAGCTCAGCATGGTGATTGAAAGCAGGGATTCAGCTGGGCATGGTGACGCACATTTATAATCCCAGCACTTTGGGAGGTGGGCAGGAGGACTGCCTGAGCCCAGGAGTTCGAGACCCGTCTCTACAAAGAATCAAAAATGAGCAACTTGGCGAGACCTCATCTCTACAACAAATCAAAAATTAGCCGGGTGTGGTAGCGCGCACCTGTAGTTCCAGCTACTTGGAAGGCTGAGGAGAAAGGATCGCCGGAGCCCAGTAGGCGAGGCTGTGGTGGCCGGGAGCAGCCACTGCACTCCAGTCTGGGTGACAGAGTGAGACTCCAACTCAAAAAAAAAAAAAAAATCAGCCAGTTATGGTGCTGCGCACCTGTAGCTACTCAGGAGGCTGAGGTGGAAGGATTGTCTGAGTCCAGGAAGTGGAGGCTTCTGCACTGTCGCCACTGCACTGCAGCCTGGGCGACAGAGTGAGATCCCAACTCAAAAAAAAAAAAGATGGCAGAGACTTTGGAGCAGATGCCATTTCCTGCTGTATGGCATTTTAAAAGTTTCTTAAGGTTATTCTGTAACCCAGTTCCCAAGTGTAAAATGGAGATAATAAGAAAATGTTGTGAAAATTAAATTAGTTAATATTTATGAAGCCCTTAGAACAGTGCCTGGCACATGGTAAGTGCCATGTAAGTGTTAGTTACATAAATTAACAAATCTTGGGGAGGAATGGACAGCAGTGAGTTAGAGATGACTCCACCCATGAACCTTGGCTTAAGAGAATGAGTGGCCGCATGAACTCAGTGACTCAGGAGAAAGAGGTGGATCCCAGGGGAGAGGCTTCGGCTGAAGGGATGTGGGGAACATCTGTAGGGAGACTGAGAAAATTCGTTCTGTTTGAACACATGCCCACTTCTGTGAGTAACGTATTTTGTTTAAAGTAAAGTTAAGAGCAGAAAAGTTTGGGCTTTTTATTTCCTTGTCAGTTTCACAGAATGCACGGGTTATCATTATATGTTGCATTGGCTTCTACAGAATATGTAAACAAAAAATAAGTAAATTAAAATCTTCTTGATTTGAATAGGCAAATGGTATCTTGTTATATATACTTTATAAAAATAACGTTAGTGATACAGCTGTGAATAAAATAACATAACTGTACAGTTTCAGATGTCTGAGTTAGAGCATCTCTGAGCACTTGGAAATCTTGAATGATATGTAAGTGGGGCAGGTAATAGTGAGCTACACAGGAACCCCTCCCCTCTTGCAAATGCCACCAGACAAAAGGCTAGGAAGCTGGAAGGCCCCAGGCTATAGTAGGCTTTCCCTGCCAAGTTTCTTCAATTCTTCTTCAACTTGCACAAGTGAAGGAGTGGTGAGGGTTTACATAAATACTTGTTCCTGAGCACGCGCATATGTTATTGTACATGATATCCTTTCAGATCTAGACTATGAGCAAATTCCCTAGATATCCCAAGTTCTGTTTAATTTGGCTTGGGGTTGAGATGTGTAACATGGCTCCTTATATTTGATAACTTGTTTTTATTACCAAGCACTCCATGAGTTCTTTTCACTTTATGCATTGACCCAGGTCATCATAGAAACCTACTTACTGCAACTCAAAATGTATCTAACTCAAATGGAAGTCCTCAGTGCTCATTCACAAACTTGTCTTGGGCTTCTTCTGGATGCTGCACAGCCAGCTCTGGGGCTGAAGGAAATGCTCCCTTCCCTCCAAGGGTTCACGTTCTAAGTTTTAGTGTTGAACTTGTTAAAAAACATCTCTCTGTTTTTATGGATACAGATGTGCTTAAAATTTTAGTCGAGCTTTCTCACTTTAATTTTTTTTATGTTCTAATGGTTTTTTAAGTGACAAATCACTTGTTACTTGATATAGCAGTAAGAAGTTGAAAACTATCCAGTACAAAGATGATGTGAACCGTGGAGTCACTCAGACCTTCAGTTCCATACCAAGTTGAATGACTTTGGGCAAGTCAGCATCTCTGAGCTCCTTCGCCCTTAAATACAAAATTTAAATAGCAATACTTACTTCATAAGATTGCTACTAAGATCAAATCAGCTCATCTATACCAGCAATTCAGTTCAGCAAGTATGCACCAGGCATAGTCCCAGTCACTGTGGCTTTAGAAGTAACCAGGAAGCAGTCCTGCCTTGAGAAGTTAATATTCTAGTGATAAGTTCTCATAACTATTATTCAAACAAATTATCTATCTATCTATCTATCTATCCCATATTAGATGGGGTTAGAATGCTTCCATTTGCTGTGCAACATATAGGAAATGTTATATCTAATTGACTTCAGACAACTACTTAGAAAAAATGTCATGCTTTTCTCATGAATTCTACCACAAATTAGTCCTTCCACTCTAAGTTTCCACCAGCTGTCAACAGACAAGAATGAAACAGTCATCCCCAATTCTTTAATTACTGACTAGAGGTTGCCCCTCACAACTGTAGGAAAAATCGTTTGCTAGAGCTGCCATAACAAAATGCCACAGACTGGCTTAAACTACAGACATTATTTTCTCATGGTCTGGAGGCTGGAAATGCAAGATCAAGGTGCCATTGGGTTGATTTCTGGTAAGCTATCATCCTGGCTTTTAGATGGCTGTGTTCTCACTCTGAGCTCACATTGCTTTTCTTCTGTGCAAGTGTAGAGAGAAAGATTTATGGTGTCTCCTCCTCTTCATATAAGGACACCAGCCCTGTTGGATCAGGGCCCCACCCTTAAGACCTCATTTAACTTTAATTACCTTCTTAAAGGCCCTTTTCCAGGTACAGAGCCACGTTGGGGGTGAGGGCTTCAACATAAGAATTTTGGGAGGACACAGTTCATGTCATAACAAGTATATGTCTGCTGGAGCAGTAACAATTTTCTCATAGGAGAGAACATTATTTTCATTTTAATGGTTCTAGAAAAGACAAAGTCAAAAGAAGAGATTCAAGGCAATAAATGTGTGGTCTAAAAAGTTATTGCAGTTGGTTGGATGTGATCACTGCCTATTGTCATTCTTGAAGAATATCTTGGTAATGTCTGCTTCCTTGGGATATTAATTGACTCTATTTATTATAATCACATATTCTCTGATCATTCTGTAGTACTGAGCATGCCATTTGTATATTTACACCCTCTCTTGTTCCAAAAATGACTTCTTTAGTTCCCTCAGTAGTTGCAAGACTTCTAAAACCCATCATCCTATTTCCTAAGCAGTAACTGTCACAACAAAATGTGTTATTCTTCTATCCTTATGAAGTTCACAGTCAGTTGTTGCTGTAGTCCAGGTTGGATGTAAAAATTGTCAAAAACTACGTTTGGTCTGGCACAGCACTAGCCGGTCATTTAGTCAGAGCTCATAAGAGTCAGGGACTGAGAAGCATTAGAACATCATAGTGGTCATGCTGGTGTGTCGTTTCTGGTGCAGCACCCTCAGGTGACACTTTGTCCTAATAATTAGACCACTTCATACAGAAGGAGCAGTCTAATAGAGGTAAGAAATTGAAATAAACCTTCAGTTTTATCCTTTGATTGAAAAGCTGATGATGATGATAAGAAGAATAAACCAAAGGTACTTTACTAGGAAGTTTCAGTTTTACATTGTGACGTGTTGGCTGGAGAAATTAAATGACTAATGCTTGAAGGAAAAAAAAGTTGTTTAACCTCAAAAGTGACACAGGATATGAGCCTGAGGGATGACAATATGAGAGGAAAGCTTATTATTTCTTTATCATTCTCAGAATGGGATGCAGTATTTTTTCTTTTTTACCATTCACGTCATACTGACATTTTGCTAATGCTGTTTTAGTCTCTATCTCATGCAGTATAGCCAATGATACTAATATTGGAGTATACCAAGTATAAAGTAGTATATTCTAAATATATTAAAACTATCTTCAGATGTAAAGTGTATTTCTAATATATCTCCCTGTCCTTGAAAATCATCAACCTGAAATTCTTATTTTTTTGATTTGGATTCTCACTCTGTCACCCAGCCTGGAGTGCCGTAGCACGCTCCTGGCCACTGCAGCCTCGCCCTGCTGGGCTCTGGCAATCCTTCTGCCTCAGCCTTCCAAGTAGCTGGAACTACAGGCATGCGCTACCACACTCAGCTAATTTTTTTTTATTTATTGTAGAGATGAGGTCTTGCCAAGTTGCCCAGGCGGGTCTCGAACGCACGGGCTCAGGCAATCCACTTACCTCAGCCTCCCAAAGCTCAGGATTACAGGCTGAGCAACCGAGCCCGGCTCAACCTGAAATTCTAACTGCGAATTGTTAGTATCTGAGAATAAAACTGCACTTGTTTTGCAGTCTAATTCTTATATTCTTGTGATCATTTTAAAACTTGAGGAAGAGGGGCAAAGAGGAGTTACAGTTACTGAGTTAAGATTCACATGTTGACTGAGTGCAATGGCTCAAGCCTATAATCCCAGCACTTTGGGAGGCTGAGGCAAGAGGATTGCCTGAGCCCAAGGGTTCGAGACCAGCCTGGGGCAACTTGGTGGGACCTCATCTTTACAAAAAATCAAAAAATTAGCCAGGCATGGTGGTTCGCACCTGTAGTTCCAGCTACTTGGAAGACTGAGGCAGAAGGATCGTCTGAGCCCAGCAGGTCGAGGCTGCGGTGGCCATGAGCGTGCCACTGCACTCCAGCCTGGGCGACAGAGTGAGACTCCGACTCAAAAAAAAAAAGATCCACAAAGCACCTTTTACAGTCCTAACTGCACTATCAGTAGGCATAATGCCCTATTTTGCCAGAGAGGAAAATAAGACTCAGAGATGTCAGGAAACCTATTAAGGTCACACAAGTAGTATGTGACAGAGCCAGGAATCAAACTCAGGCCTTGGGAAAGGAGAAGCTAAAATCTCATACCATTTTATCCTTTTCATTTGTTTGAATTTAAAACTCACCATCCTGTATCCCTTGAAGTGACTATAGCAGGAAAAATATAGGCCATTGCTCTGCCTTTTACAGTCTAGTATGGTGATTATTCCCTCAGATGTTTTACAGTATCCATTATGTTCAAAACATATCTAATAAATTATCCTGGTCATTTTGAAGGGATGGGCACAAAAGGATCATCCAGCATCTCATCTTTAAAATCATCTTTGCCACTTCCATATGGAACGAGTCTCTTTTAAATAACTTTTTAAAAGATGCATTTGTAATGCTTGTTTTCTTAGAATAGTTAACAAAGGAGACATGAGACTGGACTTGACACTGTCAGGAGGCTAACTTCAGGAGCACAGCTCACTCAGCCATAAGCTCCTGTCCTTCCACTGGGCCAGCAGACTGTGTTCCTTGAAGGAAGGGGGACGTTCCTTCTCCTCAAGTAACCACTGCTTCTCTTTTCTTCCTCTTCACAGGCACCCTTGCCAAGAAATAGGCACCATCTCACGCCACCAAAAAGGGGGCATGGGGCAGAGGTCGAGCCCTTACTTCCATGTCCCTTGTATTGTAGTTAATTGTGGGGGTATTATATCTATCTCTGGCCCAATTTTGAGCTCCTAGGTGTGGGGCCTTTTCTATTCTTCTTTATATCTTTCCAGTTAATATATTTAAGAAAAGAGACAAATCTGTTGAATTAAGACGAAGGAGCATTCTTTGATTCCTTACAAAAACTAGCTTTCTTGTCACCTCTGTATAAGTTAGCCATCTCATCATGAGAAAGGAATGAAGTTCTCTACAAGCTATTTTGGAATAACTGATTGCTGAGACTGCTTTAAATCACTGCCTGTACCATTTACATGTCTCATCAAATCTTTCTGGAGTGTCCAATAAATAGCTGTTTATCCTTTAATTGTCCAGGAAGAATTATTTCATTTTATTTTATTTTTGAGTTGGAGTCTCACCATGTCATCCAGGCTGGAGTGCAGTGGCACACTCATGACCACCGCAACCTCTACCTGCTGGGCTCAGGTGATCCTTCCACCTCAGCCATCCAAGTAGCTGGAAGGATGATGCGCGCCATCATGTCCAACTAATTTTTTGATTTATTTAGAGAGGAGGTCTCACCAAGTTGCCCAGGCTGGTCTCGAACCCCTGAACTCAGGCAATCCTCTCGCCTTGGCCTCCCAAAGTGCTGGGATTACAGGCTTGAGCTACCATGCCCAGTGAATTATTTTATTCTTAGAGATTTGTGTGTTTATAGAGAAGATATCAGTGTTCCCCAACTGTCTGTTCTTGCCATATTTCCAGGCACAAACTGTGGGACTCCCGGTGACCATGCATTCACCAAACATGAGACTGCTGCGATCCGCCCTCCTCCCACAGGCGTCCAACGTGGAGGCCTTTTCATTTCCGGCATCGGGCTGCCAGGCAGAAGCAACCTTTATGGAAGAAGAGTGTGTCGATACGCCAAAGGTATGGGTGTGTTTGAGAGACTCAGAGCTTGCAGCTTGGCCAGTGACTTCAGTCTGGTCCTCAAGTGTTGTACTTCAGCTCTGTTGAACTTTGTCATTTCCTCAAGTCACTCAAGAGTGTTGTTTTTGTGGAGAAAAGCCTAGGAACAGTTTCCAGGGCTCGATTCTCGTCAGTGTTTCAACCTTATGACTGTTACATAACTTGTCCGACCTCGTGAATACTTCTCAAAAGTCCTCTTCTTTCTCATTCCTTATCCAGCTCCTTCTCCCTTCAAGTTTCTAGATCCCTCACAAGTATTTGGGTGTGTGTGTTTGTTTTGACAAACTGTAGTTATGAAAACAAAAAATTAATTTTGGTGCTGAATTGGGCTTTGTCTATTATTAGTGCCTCTCTTTTTTTGTCTGATTTGGGCACCCACTTAAAGTCTAGTATACTGCGTGAAGTTGATTTTTAGGATATGGAAGATGACAGCTTCTCTCAGTGGGTATTTATTTAACTTCTGGTATGCATTGTATATATTTAGCATCAAGTGATGTGCAGTGGATCTTACTAACGGATAGCAGTGTTTCATAAATGAGCACAGGTCTTGGAGTATGTTCAAAGTAGACCAAACTGTGTGAACTTGGGTGAGGTCATGGAAGCTCTTTGAACCTCAGTTTTCTCTTATGCAAAACGAGAAAACAACTTTGTGAAACTGTTGTGAGGATTAAGTAAGAAAATGTGTGTGAAGTTTGAAGCGGATTATAGATACTCAATAAATAGTGGTTTCCTGTCTTTGTAGCCACTTTAGATAGTAAGTCAGACATCAGTTCTCCCTCAGGCTGCTCGACTGTGGCCTAGCAGAGGAAACATGCATAATGAAAGTCAGTGCCGGGTGCAGAATAAATTGATAAAAGATAAAAATGGTTGGCCCCTTAAAGAAGTGTACATCAAAGTGAGACTAAATGAGCCGGGGAAATTGCTGTTGCATGTGGATCGGGTTAAGTGTCAGAGCTGGGGGTGGAAAGGTGGGTAGACCTAGAGTGGGTGGAAACCAGGGTGGAGTGTCTCTGACAGAAGGAAAGCCCAAGTGAAAGCAAGCACTAGGAGAGCCTGCGTCCACCTCAGTCCAGGAAGGCTGTGGGAACTGAAGATGGGCGGGTTAGCTGTGAGTGGCAAGCCGGGGAATTTAGACATTTTCTCTGAGCCAGTGCTCTCAATGTGGTGATGTGTTTCAAGATCCACTGAGACACTTGAAGGAACAGTTATTAGGGCAGTGGGAAACCCTTGAAGATTCTTGAGCAAGGAAGCACATGCTGTCCGTGTTGCGCTTCAGAAAATTCGCCTGCACAGTCCCATTGTGTGCATTGGGTCAGGGGCAGACTGTTAACTCGGAGAGCAGGTTAGGGTGCGTGTCCTGAAGGGAAGTGATGGGCCTGGACTAGGACAGTGGACATGAACCGGGAGAAGACAGAATGACAGGAAGGAGGTGAAAGGGATCGAACATCAGGGTCTGGAGTGTGATCCGAACAGATAACTAGATGTCAAGCCTCAATGGTGGAGGGTGCAACTCATTTTCAGTTTTGGGAAGTCAAGGCAGAGCAGATTCAGAAGGTCAGTTTTGTGTTCAGCCAGCGCACAGACCACAGCAAGCAGCCCTCTGCCAGGCTGCCACAGGCCCGTGTTCAGCTGAGTTGCTGACCACAAGTAGTTAGTGTCCATGCCCCTGAGGAAAAGGCCACCACCTGTGGACAGCTTCCTTTGCCTGTGGTTGCTACTGTGGTCCTCCTCAGAAATTCAGACAAAAATCAAGGCAACATAATTCATTTATTTTGAGATCTAAATCCCTCGAAAAAATCAAAATGCTGTCTGCTAAAGGCTTGTCTTTGAAGATGTCAAGCCTGAAACAGAGATCAGGCACTGTCTGCTGTGCTGTATTATATAGGGCGAGCTATGTTTAAAGCTTGTGATTGTTGCTCTACCAGGAAACAGACAGGAAATGGATGATTTTGCAAAATATATAGACAGGAGCTAAATGGTGTCTTTGCATTGGCAGGAAGAGCAACAGCACGCTGGAGCTGGCCAGCCACACTGGCTGTGCCACTCTGGCACTCAACCAGGCCATAGACATCCGCTGGGCTTATTTGTGGACTGTTTCATGTATGTCAGCAAAAATGCTTGTCCCTCTTCCCTCCCTAGGACCTCTTTCTTGGGGCCCATAAATAAGTAAATGTACAGTTTCCTTTTTGTCCATACTGCTTCATATGTTTTTACTATAATACCCATTTGTCGTTTTCTGAAAGATGCTTTACAGCTGCATGTGTTGCAAGTTTCGTTTCTGCTCTCAACTGGGGACAGGTATTGTACATCTCAAAGAGAGTTCAGCTCTCCTTCCCTCCCAGAAGTCTTCAGTGCGTAAAACCATCCGTCACAGCCCTTAGGGAGTCTGAATTGGAGGTTTGGTTTGTGGTTTCTGCCAAAAATAGCACCTTTCTGAAGTAGTCACCCAACTCCAAGCAGTAACTGAGACCCACGGGTGACAGAAGGGCCATCTGCAGGGCAGATGCATAAATCCTGTATAGGCAGCCTTTCTCTTTTGAGTATTTTCATTAAAATAGAGAATTTTTGACTGGGCTCAGTGGCTCAGCCTGTCATCCCAGCACTTTGGGAGGGTAAGGCAAGTGGATTGCCTGAGCCCGTGGGTTCAAGACCAGCCCGGGCAACTTGGCAAGACCTCGTCTCAACAATAAATCAAAAATTAGCCAGGCATGGTAGTGCATGCCTGTAGTTCTGGCTACTTGGAAGGCTGAGGCAGAAGGATCACCGGAGACCAGCAGGTCAACACTGGGGTGGCCATGAGCGTGCTATTGCACTCCAGCCTGGGCAACAGAGTGAGACTCCGACTCAAAAAAAAAAAAAAAAAAAAAAAGAAAGAAATAGTGAATTTTTTACACACAAACACTCCATTCACTTTTAGCAGCTTATTAGAAATGAATACAAGGAATTTCCCAAGTTACCACCTTCATTGCTGGATAGCAGAAGGAAACTGGGAAGCTGCACCATTAAGTGCAAGTAGCGATGTTTCATGTCTATATTTTCACAACTTTTTTAATAACAAAGGGAGTACACAAAAGGGAAGGTCGGAAACAGGATCTGTATCAACTCAATAGTGTAAACCTCTGTCTTAGGCTTTCAAAGGGGGAGGAGTTTTATTGTAGTTTTGAATTTGGATTTTTTTTTTTTTGAGCTGGAGTCTCATTCTTTGTTGCCCTGGCTGGAGTGCAGTGACACACTCATGGCCCCTGCAGCCTCTACCTGCTGGGCTCAGGCGATCCTTCCACCTCAACCTTTCAAGTAACTGGAACTACAGACGCACACCACCACACCCAGCTAGTTTTTGTGATTTATTGTAGAGATGAGGTCTCACCAAGTTGCCCAGGCTGGTCTCGAACC